CTCAATCAAATTTGTGAGGCACGATTTCCCAGGCACAAAGCTACGCCAACTATTCTTAATCAGTCCTTGCCTTTCCAATTACATGTAAATCCCGTCCCTCAGAGTCCGCTCCAACAACTTACCCACCACTGACATCAGGCCCACTGGGATGTAGTTCCCTGGCTTTTCCTTACAGCCTTTCTTAATTAATGGCACAACATTAGCCACCCTCCAATCTTCTGACATCTCACCCGTGGCTGTCTATGATACAAATATCTCCAATTTCTTCCCTGGATTCCCACAATGTCCTGGAGTACACTTGATCAGGTCCCAGGGATTTATCCACCCCCATGATTTTCTGTTGTGTGATGTAGGCTCTTTTCAAGACATCACTATTTACTGTCCCCAGTTTCCCAGCTTCCATATCTTTCTCCATTGTTAGGATCTCTCCAATCTTCTTTGGTTCCACACAGAGACAGACTTGTTCATCTTTAAGGGGCCATATTCTCTCCCTAGTTATTCTTTTGCCCTTAACATACTAGTAAAAATCTCTTTGGATTCTCCTTAATCTTATTTACCAAAGCTATCTCATGTCCCCTTCTTGCCCTCGTGATTTCCCTCTCAAGTACTCGCATATCTCCATACTCCTCAAGAGACTCATTTGATCCCTGTTGTCTATATCTGACATATGCCTCTTTTTCTTGGTCAGAAGCCCACATGACACCAGGTTATAATCCAACAGGTTTATTTGAAATCACAAGCTTTCGGAGCACTGCTCCTTTGTCAGGTGAAGTGAAGGGAAGTGCACAGGCACAGAATTTATAGGCAGAGATCAAAAGATCATATGAATGCTGTGAGTGAAGTGTCAACAGCTGAATAGCAAGTGAAGGGATGACCTATAATCCAATTAATTGAGGCAGAGAGATAATTACAAAAAATTAAAAGTAAGGTGGTATTGGACACAAACCAAATGACTGGAATAACACTGAATAAAATCCGGAAGAACTGCGGATGCTGTAAATCAGGAACAAAAACAGAAATGCTCAATAGGTCTGGCAGCATCTGTGAAGGAAAATACAGAGTTAATGTTTCAGGTCCGGTGACTCTTCCTCAGGCCTGGAATAACATGATGGGTATAAGAGTCGCATGCTGAAGGTCTAACCAAAGTAACAAGTAATCCAGAACTGTACAAACTAATTAAGGTAGAGAGATTGTAACAAGTTATCAAGGTGATAGTGTCAAAACAGGACAGTAAGGAAGATTTTACGGATACAGAAGTGTGGTGGGGGTCATATTAGTGTGACATGAACCCAAGATCCTGGTTGAGGCCGTCCTCATGGGTATGGAACTTGGCTATCAGCCTCTGCTTGGTGACTGTGCGTTGTTGTGTATCTCAAAGGTCATGTGACTTCTGACCTTGTCAACATTGGCACCCCCACATCATTTCTTTCTCTTGACCAGAGCCTTATGGGCCGAGAAGTGACAGATGGAGTTTAATGCAGGTAAATGTGAACTGTTGCATTTTGGCAAGGCAAACCAGGGCAGCACTTACACAGTTGATGGTGGGGCCCTGGGGAGTGTTGTCAAACAGAGAGACCTTGGGAGTGCAGGTACATAGTTCCTTGAAAGTGGTGTCACAGATAGACAGGATGGTGAAGAGGGCATTTGTCACGTTTGCCTTCATTGGTCAGAGCACTGAGTACAGGAGTTTGGGACGTCATGTTACAGCTGTACAAGACATTGGCAAGGCCACATTTGGAATACTGCGTACAATTCTGGTCACCGTGCTATAGGAAGGACGTTCTTAAACTGGAAAGGGTGTAAAAAAGATTTACAAGGATGTTATCAAGACTGGAAGGTTGGGTGAGAAGGAGATGCTGGGACCGTTTTGCCCTGCAGCGTCGGAGGCTGAGGGGGACCTTATAGAGGTTTACAAAATCACGAGGGGCATGGATAGGGTGAATAGCCAAGATCTTTTCCCCATGGTAGGGGAGCCCACACTAGAGGGCATGTATTTAAGGTGAGAGGGGAAAGGTTTAAAAAGGAACCAAGTGGCAACTTTTTTCACGCAGAGTATGGTGCGTGTATGGAATGAGCTGCCAGAGGAGGTCGTAGAGGCGAGTACAATTACAGCATTTAAAAATCATTTGGATAGGTACACGGATAGGAAATGTTTAGAGGGATATATCCAGAAGTGCTCTTAAACACAACTCAAAGGTTTAGAAGAGACCTGGTGATCTCTATTTTTCCTGTCAACCAGCACCAGTAGTTTCCCCCCATGCTGCCATTGGAATAATTTATGTGCAAAGACCATTAAAGGGAATCCTTATTCATTCTTGGGATGAGGGCAGCGCTGGCTAGGCAGCATTTATTGCCCATCCCTAATTGCCCAGAGGGCAGTTAAGAGTCAGCCACATTGCTGTGGATCTGGAGTCACATGTAGACCAGACCAGGTAAGGATGGCAGTTTCCTTCCCTAAAGGACACTAGTGAACCAGATGGGTTTTTCCGACAATCGACAATGCAAACTATCCAAGGTGAAATAGAGAGCAGGAAAGACCTAAATCAAAATGGATGTGGAAAGGGAGATAAATCACTGTACCCCTGCAGTGCCCACCTCTCTGTAAGGCTTTGAGGGTGTTGGTATCCAGACACAAACGTAACGGCCGAAGAGGGGCAGACAGACAACACAAGAACCCTATCTATGCATCTCACAATTTTACAGACTTCTATCAAGTCTCCCCTCAGCTTCCACTACTCCAGAGGAAACAACCTGAGTTTTTCTATCCTCTCCTTATAGCTCATACCCTCTAATCCAAGCAGCATCCTGCTAAACCCCTTCTGCACCCTCTCCAAAGCCTCCACATCCTTCCTGTAATGTGGCAGCCAAAACTGAACACAATATGCTAAGTGTGGCCTAACCAAAGTCTTATAAAGCTGCAACACGGCATCCTGACTCTTGTACTCAATTCCCTGACCAATAAAGATAAGCATGCCATATGCCTTCTTTACCACCCTACCTACTTGCATGGCCACATTCAGAGAGCTATGGACTTGAACCCCAAGATCCCTCTGTACATCAATGCTGTTCAGGGTCCTGCCATTAACTGTGTACTTTTCCTTAACATTTGATCTCCCAAAATGCAGCACCTCACACTTACCCAGATTAAACTCCATCTGCCATTTCTCCGCCCATATCTGCATCTGGTCTGTATTCCTCTGTACCCTTTGACAACCTTCTGCACTATTCACATCTCCACCCATCCTTGTATCATCTGCAAACTTACTAACCCACCCATATACATTTTCATCCAAGTCATTTATATATTTCACAAACAGGAGAGGTTCCAGTACAGATCCCTGCAGGACACCACTAGTCACGGACCTCCAGCCAGAAAAACAAACAATAAAAACCACCACTACCCTCTGCCTTCTACAGGCGCCAATTCTGAATCCACACGGCCAAGTCACTGTGGATCCCATGCATCTCAATCTTCTGGATGAGCCTACCATGAGGGACCTTGTCAAAAGCCTTTTTAAAATCCATGTAAACAATATCTGTTCTACTGCTCTACCCTCATCGAAGACCTTCTTGAAAAATTCAGTCGAGTTAGTAAGACATGACCTGCCCCACACAAAGCCATGCTGACTGTCCCTGACTAAGCCATGCTTTTCCAAATGCAGGTAAATCCTATCCCTAAGAATTCTCTCCACTAGCTTCTCAACGACTGATGTGAGACTGACGGTTTGTAGTTTCCTGGATTATCCCAATTTCCCTTCTTGAACAGAGGAGCAATTCTGCTATTTACACACCTCTGGAGCAGGTGGGACTTGAACCCAAGTCTCCTGGTTTAGGGGGTAGGAGCAGTATCACTGCACCACAAAAGGTCCCTTCAAGAGCCCCAGTGTACTCAAAGCATTAACAGCCATCATCTAAACCTTAAATTAAGAGGTTAACAAATTTAATCATGAGATTTACACTATATGCCCTTGCAATTGGTACAGTGGTGAGATATTTGCCAGCACCTTGCATGACTCTGGGCTGCAAGATAAAAGTCATGGTTGCCAAGTCTGACTGAATATTGTGGGATTGTGTTCAGTAGTGACCGAGATTGGTGAGTGGTGAAAATATCCTCTTTACTGAGCTTTCACAGTGGCACAGTTCGAGGCAGTGATGGAATCCAAAATACAGTTTTACAGTGACCTCTTTTATACACAGCTTGTACATATATTAAAATTTTAGCACGACGGTGTCACATAGCTGTATCTATTGTACACGAGTTTGCGTGACATCTGTCCTGGGGAAGCAGGGGATGGTTTAAGCACTTGCTAAATGCTAGCTGTTACTCCTGATGGGATTAGAATGTCCCTGCCTCCCTAACCTGTTCTTCCTCCCACCTATCCCCTCCTCCCACCTCAAGCCGCACCTCCATCTCCTACCGACCAACCTCATCCCGCCCCCTTGACCTGTCCGTCCTCCCTGGACTGACCTATCCCCTTCCTAACTCCCTACCTACACTCACCTTTCCTCGCCCCATCCCCGCCTCTTCGACCTGTTTGTTTCCTCTCCACCTATCCTCTCCTCTATCCCTCTTCTATCCGCCTCCCACTCTCTCCCTATTTATTTCAAAACCCCCTTCCCCTCCCCCTTTTCTGATGAAGGGTCTAGGCCCGAAACGTCAGCCTCTCTGCTCCTATGATGCTGCTTGGCCTGCTGTGTTCATCCAGCCCTGCACCTTGTTGTCTCGGATTCTCCAGCATCTGCAGTTCCTACTATCTCTGATTCAAGGATAAATCTGTGTTCAGTCCTGTCTCTCTTGTTTGTGTAGCCATGTAGGAGACGTTATTGTCTTGTATCATTAATTAACAGAAGTCTTGTGAATCCTGACTTCTTGGTATTTCATATTTGGATCTATCGCAGATAGATAACAACTCTAAGATACCTGTTTTTGGCACTGAAATCAGGGACCACCAAATTGTAGGTGGAATCTGAAATGAGAATTGTTCACTTTTCATTTCCAGGTCACGAATATGCACAAGATAACCTGATGTTTGCTGCTTCAGTTGAACCAAACAATCCTGCTATTTTCAACAAGCTTGACTGGGTACTGCACCAGAGGCACGAGAAACATTGCACAGTGAGTAAAACAGCATGAATAGAATCCACATCACAGAATAGGCCATGCTTCTCTTCCCAGCCTATCTCATGTTAACCTATCGGTATATTCCATTCCTTCTCCCTTCAATCTAGTTCCCTCTTAAATGCGTCTATGCTTAAGCATTCACTCCCTCCAGCACTGACACACAGTCGCAGTAGTGTGTCCCATTTACAAATTGCTGTGCAGCAACTCAGCAAGGCTCATTAGACAGCACCTTCCAAAGCTACGACCACTTCCATCCAGAAGGACAAGAACAGCAAATATCATCATTCCTTGCAAGTTCCCCTTCAAGCCAGTCACCATCCTGACTTGGATATCAGTTACCGTTCCTTCGGTGTTACTGGGCCAAACCTCAGAATTCTCTCCCAGACAGCATTGTGCACATGGAGAGCAACAATTCAAGAAGGCAGCTCACCACCACCTTCACAAGGGCATAAATACGACACCAACATCCTGTGGAAGAATTTTTAGAATATGCTTTTCACCTCATCCTTTCCCTGCGATAGCGAGCTTCACATTATCACCAGTCTGCATTCCAGTAGACAAACCCCAGCACCCTTTCCAATTTATTCACAGACTGGTGACGATGTCAAAATATGCAGCCAGACCCCTGGTTCTCATTCCCCGTATAGGATTGAGCTCTGCAGAATCTGATTCAGAAGCTAGAAGTGAATAACCAAGCCAAAGGCTAACCTATGCCATTAAAACTGCCTTTTGTCTTCCAGTTGCTGACAGACCTCCCTGTCTATGTAACCTCTGCCAGCTTTTTATCTCTTCAAGATCTCTGCTCTTCTCATTGCATCTTGCCCATTCCATTCTTTCAGCATCCCCCCACATCCCCCGTCTGTCTTCCCCACCTACCTCCCCTGTCCTTTTAAGATGCCCCGTAAAATTTGTTGCTTTGACCAAGGTTTTGGTCAATTGTCCTGTTCTTTCGTGTGATTCTGTCTTCCTTTGTTGTTGATGGAAATGCAACCTCTTGTTTTCCCAGGGTCACCCTCCAGTTTGTCATGCACTTTTTATTTACTCAATCACAGGACATGAACGTCACTGGCCAGGCCAGTATTTATTGCCCACCCTGATAACCCAGAGGCCAGTTGAGAGTTAACCACATTGCTGTGGGTCTGGAATCTCATGTGGGCCAGACCAGATTAGGATAGTAGATTTCCTTCCCTAAAGGCCATTAGAGAACAAGACGGGTTTTTCCAACAGTCAATTTCATGAATATCATTAGACTCTTAATCCCAAACACTTTTTACTGAATTCAGATTCCACTATCTGCTGTGGCGGGATTTGAGCCTGAGTTCCCAGGATATTACCTGCGTCTTTGGATTAATAGTCTAGCAATTATACACTAGACTATTCCCTTCTCATGTCATGACTGGACATGTGAGATGGAGGATTTTAGGTCATTTGACCGTCGACATATTGCACGCTGCTCGATTCTGTCCCTGGTGTTTGCATCGGTTTGATTTCTCATTGGGAGTCAGTGGAACATGAAAAGGTCGGGAGTTTGTGTTCCCATTCCAAACTGAACTTGTTCTTTGCTTCATTGCAGTGCCCTTCGACAATCGGGGAAGAGAAGGAGTACAATCCATTTTTGCGAACTCACTCCAGCGATTTGCACGAAGCCCTTGGGGTTGAGCGGCAACTTGACGAAGACTGGACTTGCTTCAGATCCAGGGTCCTGGAGGAGGTCCGCAAGCGTAAAGATATTTTCAATTATAGATAGCATTCCAAAGAGTGGACCTTTTTCCTTATTGCCGTTACTTTTTCTGTCTTCCTCATCCCTTACCGTTCTCTCCTCTTTTCCCTCTCTCAATGGACTCTGAATCACTGTCTGTTTCTCCCCCACTCTCGATATTTTCTTCGCTCTCACTTGCTCCCTAGCCCCCTATCCTTCTCCCTCTTTGTGCTGTCTTTGTCTTCACAATTCTCCATTCCTGTTTGTACAAGAAGTTTCAACAACATGCACCTAAGTAACAAATGGAAACATTGGTGTGAAGAACAATCCAGAAGATTGCATGAGAACGATTGATCGATCAGGGAACCTTTTGCTATCGTATAGTTCCCTCGGTAGTGTAAATATCAATTCTGTGAATTTTTTTATGTGATGTACAGCTTTATCATGTTTGCCATCTGAATTTTTCTTCCTAAAAGTGAGTCATGCTAATGCAAAGGATGCTCTCCCTTTATTTATAGATCACCAAAAACAAACACACAGCTGTGAAGGTACGAGGAATGTCCAAAGTATATTGTACATGAAGCCTTTACCACTAGAAACTCAAATACAGGATGTCTGCTAGTGTTCACTGAGTTGTTTTTTTTAGTTAAATAAGGATGGAGATAGAGGCAACACCAAATAAAGTCAGATTGTAAAAAAACTCTCACCTCTTTACTGTAAGGTTGACACTAACATTAACTTCCACTTTCTACTGATCATAGCAGCAAGTTGTTGCTTGTTTGGCAATATATTGATGTTGGAGCAGAGTGGAGGGAGCTTTACTCTGTATCTAACCTCACGCTATCTTTGTACTGAATGTGTTTGATGGGGACAGTGTTGAGGATGCTAAACTTAGAGATTAAAAGAGTAGGGAGATCTTTTTCTTTCAGTTTAAAGGACTGAGGGTGCTTTACTCTGTGACTAACCTTGTTTTGTACCTGTTCTGGGAGTGTTTGACGGAGACAACGTAAAGGCAGCTTTACTCTGTATCGATCCCTGTGCTGTACCTGTCCTGGGAGTATTTGATGGACACTGGGTGCCTAAAACAAGATGAGTTTGATTGTTAACGCTAACCCACCCCACCACCTCATCAATCTGCACATAAATATAAAGCGATATGTAGCATGTGTTGGATGGTGATTTATGTAACAGATGGCACTTCTCCCAGAGTCGGACCTTGGTTGCATACTGCACTTGAACTGCAGAAGCAGGATAGCAGTGTTTTATGTAATATCATTCCGTCTACCTTGAGAGAATTCTCTCGATACATACTGTGGAACAGCAGGACATTAAATGGGGTTATTCTCCAACTCAGCAGCAAGTGGTCTTGGAATTCTGATAGAGACATCTGGGTATAAAATCTTTATTTTATTTACTTCACTGGAAAGAAAATAAATTGCTGCTGTAAATTCAGGTGTAAAGTTAATAAATTAATTTTGATGTCAAATCTTTAATGTGCTCCAGGGATGCTGTATTATCAAATTTCTATTAAAAAGTGTCTTACTTCATCTTGTATTTAGCCTTTCTTTGTCACATTTCATGGTCATTATTGGATTGAAGGAAAGAATGTTGATGATTTTATTCTGGCCTCAGGGTTAAAAGTCCTGACAAGCCTATATGTATTGTCTCAAATCATTAAAGTTTGTCCCTTGATGAAGGTCTGGGAGGGCTGACTCTCATGCAAAAGTGCTGCAGTTTTAGTTTTTGAGAGAATGAGAAGAAAATTGCTGGAAGATTACAATTAGATTTGTGGTATCCTTTCTGGTAAAACTTGTCATCCTTTTACTGCATTCTTATGTGACTTCAGTAAAAGGAAAATTGGACACTGGTTTCCTTTTGTGTAAGTTAAGGTACCAAGTCCAGTAGTGCTTATTATATCAAAGATGTTCAGACAGTACCTTCTAAACTCATGACCACTTCCACCTAGAAGGACAAGGGCAGCAGATACGTGGGAACACCACCCGCTGCAAGTTCCCCTCAAAGCCACTCACCATCTTGACCTGGAACTGAATTGACATTCCTTCACTGTCACTGCGTTAAAATCCTGGAATTCCCTCCCTAAGGGCATTATGGGTCTACCTACAGCAGGTGGACTGCAGCAGTTCAAGAAGGCAGCTTACCACCGCCTTCTCAAGGGGCAACTAGGAATGGACAAGAAATGCTGGCCAGCCAGTGATGCCCATGTCCCACAGGAGAATATAAACACTGATGTGCAGTATTAAATTTGTGAACATCTGCCAAATAACAACAGGAATTAAACCTTGCAAAAAATAAAAGACATGTTGCTGAAGCTGTTTTGTTTTGCACTGAAATCGGGACAAACAAGAATGTCAAATTTCAAACAGTTTCCACAACTTGTACTACATTAGAAAGTGGTACTGATTGGCTGAGGAGTTTCCATGGGAAAACAATAGGAAACTATTGGCTCCTGGCAACATAAGTCCTTTTGTTTGCATTAAATAGGGCCCTGTGTATGAATGTATCACATCTAACAAACATAAATGTCTTTACCTTACAAGCTCAATTAATGCATCTTTTAGCACAGCCAGGATAATTTAGCAAATACTATCTAATCATACAATCACGGCTAACGTGTTGTTTGTGAAGATTGGGGAACTCCAATATGTTGCTATGGAAAAGTCAGCAGAGGACTCTAGGCTCCCCAATCTGGCAGCTTTTGTTGAATCACCTTGACAGTGCTAATAACCACACCAACAGCCAATTTGAGATGATAATCAGGTTTGTTACATGGCTTCTTTACACTTATTGGAAACGATTTTTGTTCATACACCAGGGCCCCATTCTTTGCAAACAAAAGGAATGTGTTCAAACCTTGAACCATTTCAAATTTTTTTTCTGGAGCTCGGGGAGTCTAGTTCGCTGTTGCTTCATCCACCCAAGCAGTTGTCATAATCAGTCAATTCATCAGCTTCTCACTGTGATATAAATTGTTGTAATCGTTTGAAACTTAGCATTCTTGATTTCATTGAATCCCTACAGTGTGGAAACAGGCCCTTCGGCCCAACAAGTTCACACCAACTCTTGGAGCATCCCACCCAGACCCATCCCCCAATAACCCACCTAATCTACACATCCCTGAACACTATGGGCAATTTAGCATGGCCAATCCACCATAACCTGCACATCTTTGGACTGTGGGAGGAAACCGGAGCACCCAGAGGAAACCCACACAGACACCGGGAGAATGTGCAAACTCCACACAGACAGTTGCCCGGGGGTGGAATCAAACCCGGGTCCCTGGCGCTGTGAGGCAGCAGTGATAACCACTGAGCCACCGTGCTGCCCCCATTTGGTTCTTATGAGTGCAAAGCAAAAGTCTTCAGCATTTCATTGTTTTCAGTAATATTCATCAATATAGTACTCAACATTCATGAGTAATTGATGCCAGGATTTCCATCACTTAGCTCAGATGTGTCACATTGAGCACAGCACCTTGGTGAAGAAAATAACTTGCATTTATGTAGTGCCTTGCACAGCCTCTGAACATTCCAAAGCACTTTTGGAAGGGTAGTTGCTAATGTAAGTATATGAGGCAGCCATTTTGAACAGAGCAAGTTACCACAGTTGGCAAATATGATGTTATCCAGATACTGTCTTTGTGATACAAAAACAGAAGTTGCTGGGACAGCTCAGCGGGTCTGCCGGCACCTGGGAGGAGAAATCGGAATTAATGTTTCTGGTCTGGTGACCCTTCCTCAGTTACAGCCTGGCAGTTCTTTCATTTTGTATTTAGTGTCTTTCTGATGTCAGTTGTGGAAATGTCAGGAGACTCAGAGAGATCCTCTGTTCTCACAGATAGTGCTGTGGGATCGCTGCATAGGTCAAGTGCCAATCTCTCAAAGACATTAAAAGCAAAATACTGCAAATGCTGGAAACCTAAAGTATTTTAACTGGCACCTTATAAACTGGCAGGCTCTATAAACCGGCAAAACTTATATACTTCAAATATTGTGAATTTACTGTATTATGCTGACCAATTATTATATTTTTTTTAAATTTATTTGCCTCAATATAAATATTTGTTCAAGTGAATGGTCACATGAAATATCAATAGTTGATTCAGTTTCAATTCAATTTCTCCTCAAATACTGTGATCTACCGCGATGTCCAAGTAGTCAGTCAATGGTGCGAGTGAGAAGGCTCTCTGCCGGTAAGTTTTATTTAAGGCAAAGTTGCATTTTATTTAAGTGATTTATGCTGTAAGTAGAGTATAACAGTGATGTGTATATGTATAGCCTCTGCATTATGTTTCCAGTACTTAGTGTGTGCTTTAACATTGACTTCTTGATTACCCAGAATATTTGATCAACTCACATACTCCTGGTCCCGTTGGTTCTGATTAACAAAATCTTTGCTATAGAAACAAAGTGCTGAAGAAACTTAGCAGATCTGGCATCATCTTTAGAGAGAGAAGAAAAAGTCAACATTTTGAGATCACATAGTGTGGAGCTGGAGGAACACAGCAGGCCAGGCAGCGTCAGAGGAACAGGAAAGTTGACATTTCTGAGCTCCCTACCCCTCCTCCCCCATTTCTGAAGAAGGGTCCCGACCCGAAACGTCAACTTTCCTGCTCCTCTGATGCTGCCCAGCCTGCTGTGTTCCTCCAGCTCCACACTGTGTTATCTCTGACTCTGGAATCTGTAGTTCTTGCTATCTCTGAACATTTTGAGATCAGTTTGATTTCGGCAGAATTCAGAGTTCCACTCCACTTTCCTGCTTTTCCCTATTACACTTTATTCCTCTACAAATAAATATCTATCTCAGCATTGAATACACCTAGTGACACAGCATTGACAGCTTTCTGCGGTAAAGAATTCCATAGATTCACTGCTGTCAGAAAAAAAATCCTCCACATTTCTGTCTTAAATGGGCGAGATTGTTCAGAGATTGTAGTCTCCAGTCTTAGACTCTCCCACAGTCTCTCCATGTCAACCCTGTCAAGCCCCCAAAGAATCTTTTATATTTCCAAAATGTTTCATCTCATTCTCCTAACCTCCAAACTCAATGTGGTCAACCTTTCATAAAATCCTTCCATACCTGAGATCAATCTACTGAACCTTCTCTGGACTGCCAATGCTGTATATCTTTCCATCCATAAGGATACCAAAACTGTGCACAACCCATGGGGACAGCACGGTAGCTCAGTGGTTAGCACTGCTGCCTCACAGCACCAGGGACCCACTTTTGATTCCACCTTCAAGTGTGGAGTTGCACGTTCTGTGTGGGTTTCCTCCAGGTGCTTTGGAGGTTCCCTCTCACAGTCTCGAGATGTGCAGGCTAGGTGGATTGGCCATGCTAAATTGCCCCGTAGTGTCCAAGGATGTGTAGGTTAGTGGGAAATGCGGGGTTACAGGAATAGCGTACAGGGGGTGGGTCTGAATGGGGTCTTTGGAGGGTTGATGTGGACTCAATGGACAGAGTGGCCTGTTTCCACAATGTACGGATTCTGTGATTCCCCAGTGGGATGGCATCACTAGGCATATATTCCCCTCTCCTCCCATGTCAGCATTCCTCAGGGACCATTCCCTTTGGGACACCCTGATTAACTCCTCCAATCTCAACACCTCTCCCAATGCCCCCCTGGCACCTTCCCATAAATCGCCATTTACTTCCTCCCTCCTCACTGTCCAAGGTCCCAGACTCTCTCACTTCCAGGTGAAGTGATTTACTTGCACATACAATCTAGTTTGCTGTATTCACTGCTCACAACGTGGTGGTCTCCATATAGGGGGGGAATGACAGGCAGACTGAGTGACTGCTTTGCCAAGTATCTACTTTCGGTCCGAAAAATGACCTTTTAGTCACCTGCCACTTGAAACCACCGCAATGTCAATGCTTCTGTCTTGGGCCAGTGCTCCAGTGAAGCTCAATGCAAGCTGGAGAACAACATATCTCTCATCTTCTGCTTGGGGACTTTGCAGCCTTCAGGACTCCAAATTGAGTAACAATTTTACAGCATAAGCGACACCTTCCATGTAGATTACCCACCCCCATCCCAGCTTCTCTCAGGAAGCACGGTCGCTCAGTAGCTAACACCCGTTGCCTCACAGCGTCAGGGACCCAGGTTCGATCCCACTCTCAGGCAACTGTATGGAGTTTGCACATTCTCCCCGTGTTTGCGTGGTTTCTGTTGGGTGCTCCGGTTTCCTCCCACAGTCCAAAGATGTGCAGGTTAGATGGATTGGCTGTGCTAAATTGCCCGTAGTGTTCAGGAATGTGCAGATTAGGTGGGTTTCCATGGGAAATGCAGGGTTACAGGGATAGAGAATGGGGTTGTGTCTTGTGGGATGCTTTTCAGAGGGTCACTGTGGACTCGATGGGCCGAATGGCATGTTCCCACACTGTAGGGATTCTGGGATTAAACGGGTTGTTTTCAGTATGTCCAACCCATTCTCACTGATTCATTCCAGTATGACCTGTCAATCTTTTCTTCTTCCCTTGTTTATTATCAATAAACCCATTGTCTTCAGGTGGAGGGTGGTGATTCTGTGGAGGTTATTGCCGCAGAAGGCTGTGCATGGCATCTCAATGAATTTAAGACAGAGATAAATAGGTTCTTGAGTAGTAAGGGGGTAAAAGGTTATGGGGAGAAGGCAGGAGAATGGAGTTGAGAAACTTATCAGCCATGATTGAATGGTGGAACAGCCATGATGAACTGAATGGCCGAATTCTGCTGCTACATTTTTTTGGATGGTACTGAAGGCAACCTATTTTGTGACATATTATAATAAACAGATATAACCAATGGTAATAGACAAAGAATGAGGTGCTCATGCTCCAAAATTGTTTAAATGGTATTTTGTTCAACGGAAAATCACTGTTAATCAAAAATTGATTCAGTTTCTCCGTCACTAGCCAAACTAGCACAGGGGAGATGGGCTGAACGGCCTGTCTCTAACGCGTTCGTTGCCATGGTAACTGCAGGCAGTGGGGAGGACGGCTAAAAGCTGGAGCGGGGTCCTGCTGCACCGGCCGCAGCGTCTCCATGGTAACCGCCGCCGCGGCAGTTAGCCCGCAGCGGGAGGGGACTCCTCAACAAACTGGTGGTGAGAAACTCCACTCGCTCAACGCGAAATCAAAGTTCCTGCCTGCCAAATCGAACATTTCACCTCGACCTTTCTCAGGCGAATAAGAGTAAATTACTTCGTACATTCGTCGTCCCGCATTCACCGCGAAACGGAGTGGAGTTGGACTCCGTCATCGGCCGGTCGCCGATTGGCTAACGCGGTTGTCCAGGCCACCGGAACCCTTCACTAATTGGTCGATGAGGCTGTCTTTCAAGGTCTGTACCGCCCTCTAGTACGCATGGATTGGCTACGACGGGAGGTGGGTGGTCTTCGAGTAGGCTTTACTTGCCTTCAGGTTGGCGAGGGCAACTGTCCATCAAAGTGCTGCCCCTCTTCTATTGGTGTATCGGGGTGTCTATCAATGGGCGGGTCCTATGTTATGGATTGGCTGGAGATAGTAGGAACTGCAGATGCTGGAGAATCCGAGACAACAAGG